TCCTAAGGACGCAGGCACCTCTGGGGCTGTTGACCTGCTGACCCAGGGGCCACTGGCAGCGGCCCGAAGCCCTGGCCATGCAGGCAAGGAAGGAAGTGCACCCGCTCCCCTTCCTCACACTCAGGGCAGACGAACCGGAGGCCCGCCACCCGCGGAAGGCAAGCGCTTTGCCCCGATTGATAAAAGGAGACCTGGTGTGCCCAGCCTACAGTGAGACCCCCTACCAGCAGCTGAGGACGGGGATGACTGGCCATCCTAGTGAGAACTCTCCTGTCCTGTAATCCTGAACTCCATCCCGAAATCCCAGAAATGAGGAAGGTCACACTGTCACGTCCCTGTCCCAGTCTCAGAGCTCTGGGGGCCTGACCCAGGCTGGCGGGCATGACGCCCCGGACGGGGAGCAGTGTGTCTCCGCTGGCAGCTACTGTGCCCCCCGCTGGTCCTGCCCTGCCCCCCAGGGACATGCGGAAGCCGGAGCCCCTTGTCCAGGGCGGCCCTTCCATCCGGTTCGCTCCCCGCCAGCTGCAGCTCCCCGACCCTTCCTGGTGACGGAGGTGGGGCTGCAGGGTATGAGCCCTGCCCCTGGATGTGGGCTCAACCTCAGGCCTTCCCCTCCCTCAGGTGACTCCCAAGAGCCCTTGGAAAATGTGGGGGGGAAACAGGCTCAGGTCTCAGCCCAGGGCCGACGTGGCAGAGCCAGGCCAAAGACTGGGAGTTTGGATTCAGGGAAAGGCCAAGAGGCTCTGGTGTGGCCGACGCTGCAGCTGCCTGGGACCTCCAGACGAGGCCCGGGGCCTCTGTGCGTCGGTCCCGGCCGGCCCACAGGCCCCTCAAGCTGAGCTTCCTTGTACTGGAGCATGGACCACCCCCTGACCACTCGGACGCCATCTTGGCTAAGGATCTTTTCCACAGCCACACACACGGCCGACTCAGACGGAGGCAATGAGGGACTGAGCCACCAGGTGGTTTTCCTCCCAGAGGCAGCGGCAGCCAGGCCGCCCACCCCCACAGGGCTTCCGAATCAACCTTCCTCCCTTGACAGCATTTCCCAAACTGCCCAGCCACGTCAGACGTGGAGCCAGACACCAGGACAGAATGGCGACAGCACCATTTGTTCCTCCAGGGCACCCGTGCCGTGGGGGTGCCAACCGGCCCTCCGCCTGGTCCGACCCAGCGCAGCAAGCGCTCTGATGCAAATGGGGACAAGGAGAACAGGCCCCAGCCAGCGACCCGCCCCCACCACAGGCCCCACCACGCCCTGATGCTGAGCCCCTGGCCTGTACCCACACGGCTTCCCCTTTGCCTCGTGGACATGTGCCCAGCCCTTGTCTCCCTGACGGGCTTCTCCCGGCTGCTCTCAGTTCCCCAGCATCCAGGACGCTCTGAAGCCCCGGTGCGCACAGGACTCCCCAATCCCCATCGGCCTGCTGACCTTTCTTGTCTTAGCTGTTTGCTTGAGCCTCCTCAGGTACCAACCAAACGTGCATATATTAGCATCCTGAATAAAACATCCCTTTCTCAAAATCCTGATGTTTCATAGAGACTGCAATGTGGCAGTCACTGCCCATTAGCCACTGGGGGTCGAAACTGCTCACCAGATCACCATGGGGGCGGCAGAACAAAGGGCACAGAGATGGAACTCGCATCCAGGAAGATGCTCCAGGCAGAGGGGACAGTGGGGCCTCCTTGGCCGACAGCGTCTCCAACTCGCTCTTCTCACCAAGGCCACGCCAGTGGGAGAGGCTGTCAGGAAGCTCCCGCTGGCCGAGGGCATGGGATCACATTCAGAGCACCAGAAAAATCACACAGTAATGGGGCTCCAAGGGTGGCACTCAGTGAGGAGTGCGCAGGAAGGCAGTCCATTCAGCACGAGGTTATCTCACTTGGGTGAAGAAGGGTGGACACAGGAACACGTCACAGGAACGTGAGACCAGCCGTTCAGCTCGTCCCACTCACTCCCCTAACCTAATCTGAGGCTCACAAAGCAGCTTCTTTTTATTGTCTGGCTTCCACTGGGCATCCCTCCCTGGTCATGGAACACACAGATCGGATTCACCTTCTGCCCACTAAACTGAACCAGCATTTTATGGCCTGTACACCAGGCTGTTGGGTATTATAGGTGCTTCGCTGAAACACTGACCTGGGTACATTACCAAGTGAGTTCTCCAGCCAGCCTCATGCCTCACAGTGGTTATCACGCCCAGGTCCTGGCCCCTGTGAGGGTGTCTCAGCAGCCACTGGCCTTCCTGGGTAACACAGCCACCCCGATGTGCTCCGGTCCAGTGCCAGCATCCAAGCTCCTCACATGGTGCATCTGTCAGGCTGGGCTGGGCTCTGCCCGGATTCCTGTGGCCTAGAACACCCCTGGTTTATTCCTCAGCTCCCACACGTCCCGTGTGAGGCAGCGAGGGCTCTGTGCCACACCATCCTCACTCTGCGACCCAGGCCGAGGGAGCAGCCCCCTTCCGGAGCGTCCACTGCCATTGGAACAGAGGAAAGGGGAGAGCCAGGTGAGGCATCTGCTGGCCACCACACTCACGTCCTAACCGGAGCAATCAGTTCCTAGTCAGCAACTTAGTTTAAAGGTTTCCTTTCAACGAGTCCAGACCTGCCTGTCCCAGGCAGTGTTCCAGGCACCGGGGATACAGAAACGAACCCAAACCCCTGCCTCCTGAGATTCTCACCATAAGGAGCCGTCCGTCTGTCCCCATTCTGTCCAAAGAGCTTCTACTCTCTCGCTTCTCATCAGCAAGCATTTACTAAGCACCTTCTTACCTGCCAGACCCTGCTAGGCTCAGGAGATGGGGGCTGAGAGTGTGAGGCCCCTCCTGGAGCTCACGCTGTGCCAAGAAGGCTCAGATGCAGGGGACAGGAGTGAGACACCTCATTCTCATACAGAAATCCCACCATGAACCATACATGAACTATTAAGTAACCACAATATTTACTCCAAACACGCAAAGAGGAAATATGTCATATTCCAGAAATATTCTAGGAATATCAAAAGACTTCCAGTGATTCTCAAGCTGTTGGAGCCCCAGGCGGTGCTTCGGAAACCTCACTGGGAATGAGCGGGCGGCCACATGCTTCCTCCGGCTTTAATCTGTTGCACATACTTGAGATTTGATTTGAAGAGTGGGGCTGCTGGGGAGAAACTAGTGATCTAGCTGGAGGCTCTGCCATTCCATACGTGGGAAGTGAACACGCAGGACAGACCACACGGTGAGTTAGAAGCACGCCTGAGGCTGGCCGCCAGCCACCTCTGCACATCTCTGAAACCCACAGCCCTTTTCCCTTTTTCCCCCAATTTACTCCAAGTCTGCAGGTGAGCTCTGAAAACTAAGATTCAGCTGCTAAAGCTACAGGCTTTAGCAGCATATTCAGAGAGGGATCTGGGACCTTTTCCCAGCCAGTTTGAGGACACACGTCACCACTTGGTTGGACAGAGAGCAGGGCCCATCCCTTCCTTCTCCTGGGCATCGAGTCCCTCCCAGCGGGCACCGAGCCATAGGTGCAACACTGGTCCTGCTTCCCATTTGTCCAGACCGGGAAAAGGGCTTATTTGGGAATCCTGAGCAAGAAAAGCCCAGACTGGTTCTGTGTGCTGTGGGTAGAGACAGGACAGACATCCTAATCTCGTAGGAACGGGCATGTTTCTGAGGGAACATCCGAGCTAATACATGCAAATGATTTTAGAAGCTGGAAACTCACATAAATGTCGTCCCCAGCATTGGCCAGGAAAACAGATATCACATACGTAAAACTCAGCAGCACAGTCCAGCGCCGAAGAAGCCTCTGCCTGCCGTGCGGCACTCGGTCCCCAAACTCATCAGAAATGCAGATACACTGTGGATCTACTCTCTCCCTGGCGAAGGACATTTATTTTCACATAGGTCCAGAACTAATCTCCCAGACACACACACAAGAAATCGGGCTTTATTTACCAGACATTTAAGGTTTTCCCTCCAGGCAGAAACCTAAGAAATCTCTAAATTCGCCGTTTCGGCAGACCTGCCTCCCGCTCCTGCCCCGCCTTCCTCTTCTATGGAAGAAAGGGTCCGCTTCTCCCTGCAAGACCGGGGACCTCACTCCACCCGCCTTCACTTACTTCCCCAGCGCCTGGAGGCCCGTGCCGGGCTGTCACTGGGCCCTGATCTCCAAGACACCCCTGGCCCAGGCAGCCGGCTGGCTGTGACCTGCAGGGCAGCCTCCATGGAAGTCGGTGGCCTCCAAAAAGGGCAGGGAGGCGGGTAACTGGCCCCATACGCCGCTGCCAGGCTCCTCCTGGGCTCTTCATGTGCATACAAGCGCAGCAGAGCCCGGCAATGAAGCCCCGGCCCACAGCCTTGCGGGCAGCAGCCTGGACTGGCCACCTCCCAGTTAAACCGCCCCATCCTCCGGAGAGAGATGCGGATGCGCTGTTACGACAGACCTCTATTGTTCGTAGCAGAGACCCTGATTTTCGCCCCCCCTTAGACGGCGGCTACAACCCTGCTCCGAAACAATGCCGATGGCTCGCCGTTACAGTTCAGGTAGACCAGCGCCCCCGGAGGCTCCGGCGCCCGCAAACGGCGGTCGGGTGGACGGGGGGACCCGAGGGGCGCTCGCTGCGGGAGCGCGGGGGGCAGGCGGGAGCTCGCGCCCCGCCGGCTCCTCCTGCAGGTGAAGTTGACCGTCCGCCCCCTTCGGGGGATCCGCCGGCCCGCTCCAGCTCGGCGTGCCTGGAAGTCTCGGTCGAGAAGGGGTGCACTGGCCGGTCCTTCCGGCTTTGCCCAGCTTTGCACCCTACTTTGCGCCTCTGGTGTGTTAGGCTTTTTGCACACGCAGCTCGCCTATTTAACCCTCAAAATGCTGTTTTCCAGAGGCGAGTTTTCTGCCATGGAAACTCGCCCCGAGCTGCAGGGTCCTTTCCGTTGCTTCTCCCGGGACCCTGACCCCTCCGGCAGGTGTGGCCCGGGCAGCACCCCCTTTCCCGCACCGCCCCACCGCGCCCGACTCACCTCCGCCGCTCCTGCCCGCAGCGGCCCGCGCGGCCTCCGATGCCCGCCTCGCGGAGGCTCCTCCGGGCAGGGCGGCTGCAGCTGCCCCGGGCCGGAGCCGCCCTCACCTGCGCGGCGCCCTGCGGACTGCGGCCGGGGCCGGGCCGGGCGCGCGGGTCCCGGGCGGCGGGCAGCCGGCACAGGCGCGCATGGCGCTCGGGCTCGCGGCGCCCGGACGCGGCCTCCCCGGGCCGCCCGCCTCGGTCTTCGCGTCTCGGCCGGCGGCGCCGCGTCACGGGCGTGGGCGCAGCGGGCAGCGCGGCCCGGGAGGCCAGCAGCGCGAAGCCCGGCGCCGCGTCCCCATCGCCGCCCGCCCAGGGCGCGCGGGCGGGCAGGGCGCACGGCGGGGGTGCGCGCGCCCCGGGCGCGGAGGGGCGGACCCGGGGAGGGGCGCCGCGGGCGCGCACGGGGTGCCCGGCGGGAGGCTGCGGCGCGCGAGCGGAGCGGGGCGCCGCCGGAGCCGCGGGAGGCGGGGTCGCGTCCTCCAGTCCCCCGGGCTGCGGTGACGGCGGCCCCCAGCGGCCGAGCAGGGACAGCGGTGTCCCCGCCCCTCCTCGGGCCCGGGTGCACGCGGCGCGCCCTCCCGGGGCCTCCGACTCGGCAGAACTCGGCAAGGCCGGGGCGAGGGGACGCTTCGCCCACGGATGTGCCCTCTCGGCTGGTCTCGGCCCCATTGGTACCCGAAGTGGAGACGGGTCACGTGGCCGCCCGCCCCGAGCGCGCGCGCGCATCCCCGGCACACCCCCAGCCGGCGGCGCGGGGGTGAGTTTCCAAAAGTCGACCTGGACCCGCGGACCAGAATGCGCGGCTTCCCCAAGTCCCGCGTGCGCCGCGGCGGGGCTGAGACGCAGCAGGTGCGCCGAGGGCCGCCATCGGCTCGCATCCTGCCCCTGCGGCTGCGGGTCCCGTCGCCAGGAAGACGGGAGAGTCGTGGCGTCGGGGGCCCCCGTCAGGAGGAAAGCAGAGCCCCCAGCGGGTCGCGGATCTGAGTCGGGGGCGAGCGCGCCTCCCCGGGGCCCAGCCTCTCGGCCCCGAGCGCGCCGGGACCTGCACCGCGTCGCCACCTGCGGTCCGCCTCTCTCCGCGCGGCCTGGGTGGCAGGCGACAGCGCTCTGAGTCACCCTGCTAATAAATGGATACTTTAAATAATGCCTGATCAGGCTGGCGCGCGCTGACAGCTTCATTTTCCCAGCGCGCCTCTCTGCGCGGGATGGAAAGTCCATTTACCTCCAGTACCTTCTTGCGGGGCAAGTTCGAAGCCTCCGGAGAGGCCAAAGCAGCTGAAGGGCTGAGATGGCCGTGAGGTCCGTGCATTCATTCCCCCTCGCCCGGGGATTTCAGATTCGCAGACAGCACCGCCCCTGTCCTTTGTGCCAGCGTTGTTTGTGGCAACGAGGCTAAGTTCAAGGGATGAAGGTGTCGGGGTCAGGGGCCTGCGACGAGCCAGAGGGGGACCCTCAGACTCCCAGGGGCCTTGCCGCCCTCTGAATCGGGAGGGCAGGTCACTTGAGGCCCAAGTGAAGATAAAGGAGGGAAACGGCAGGACGGTGTGGGGCTGCCAGGCCAGGGGCTGCGTGCCTCCCGCCTTCCTGCCCTTGAGTCTTGCTTCTGTGCCGTCCCTCTGGTGTCCCATGAAGTGCCTCCAAGAGATCAGGCGCCAGGCGGGAGCCCAGAGCTTCCTGCGGCTCAGCTGCTCGCAAATCTGCTTTTCCTCCTTTACTTCAGCTGATGCAGGCTGGAGGCTTATTTAACTTTTTTTCTGAAAAACTGGGAAAATGACGTTTTACGTTTCAGACAGCATAAAATGAACATGCAGAGTATCGGGCCCTGGGTTCCAGCCAGAGGTCGGCGAGTGGCATTCACAGAGACTCACCCGACGGTCCCTTGCATCCTGGCGCCCAGTTCCCCTGAGCCTGTTCCAGAGGCCCCCCTTCAAGCCCCGGGAAGTATGCCTCTCACCTTCTGGCAGGCTGCTCCCCCACCAGGGAGGTGCAGGCTCAGCACGCCTTGGCGGTGGGCTCCCTCGAGACCCTCTCCCCGAGCCGGCTGGGGCTCTACGACTTCCTCTGCTGTTCTGCACACACACGTCCAGGCCCACCCCAGGGTGCCCGCCTGGGGAAGGGTGAAGGTCATTTCTCTGCATCACTCATTGCACCAGAATGATACCAAATCCTATTCACCATTTCTCTGTGGACCCAAAGCACAAAGTCTCGGGGGACATGATGCACATTTATGACACTATCCTTCTAGGGTAAGCAAAATTTTTATTTTTTATGTTTTATTTTTTTTTTATCTGGGAAAGAGAAGGAGACAGCAGGTGAGATGAGGGAGTGGACCCCGACATGGAGACAGGAATGGGATCAGCACCCAGAAACCACCAGCTCCCGTTTCTTATGGCGCCCCTCCCAGACTCCCACACTTCACCTCATAATGTCAGTGGGAAAGATGTGAACTGTGTAAGCGAAAGGCACTTAATTTGGAATCTTAAGATCTGATCATACATGTTGATTGAATGGTATGAACTCCCTATGTGAACATGGGCAGATCACTTGACTTGATTTCAATCCTGTAACAGGTGAAATGCTGGGTTCTATTTCAGTACTTGGGCTGAGGAACACAGATGGTTTCCCTCATGCAGAATCTGAGCTTGATTATGAAACCCTAATAAATGTGTGGGGAGCCATGCAGTCCTGTGTCCATGGAAGGTCCTATTCAATGAAATACAGTCCAGTAGCCAAAGGAAATTTACCAGCATATTTGGGTTTCTCAGGGACTGACCGTCCCCTCTCTCCCGTGTAATTCCTTCTTCCTCAGCTGTCTCAGAGCCCCCCTCTCCCCCATATCCCCCAAATTCTCTCTAAATGCCTGGCACACATCTTTACTCTCCTCTGCCTTCCCTCCCTCTCTCGTGATTATACAAACTACATATTCTCTCTCCTCTCTCTAGACAGAGGAAGGGGAAACGGGGGTCAGAGCAGAGGCCTCTGAAGTGACAGAGGTGCCGGGTGAGGCTGTGGACATGCACACATAGTACATTTTAGTCCATCGTACTCAGATCTCCCTTGGGTACCTTTTGGATATACTGAAGAATGAGGAAAGGACTTGGGATGCAGTATCATTAGACATAGATCTTTGTCACCCAGTTCACCTGCTGACTTTCTAGGTAAAGCTTAGACTTTCTTAACCTCCTCTGAGCTTCAGGAAAAGTACACAAGTCTTCCTTTCATTTCTTCAAGTGTCCAAGAGCAGCTTGCAAACTGAAAAGATGAATCTGGTGGCTTCTGATCACTGAGAGATCCCAGGCACTAAAACAATGCCTGACACATAGTAGGGGTTCAGTAAGTATTTGTCAAATGACCTATGTGCTCTTGCAAAAATTACTTCACACGAATCTCATCCATTTCTGAGTGCAAGGCCTGACACGTGGGAGGTGCTCAGCGCATTTGTAGAATCATCCCCATATTTCCATGGTGTCTTATCTGGGCAGTTCCCAGCCCACACCTGGTACTCATCTCGCCATATCCTCAGGATGTCAGGGAGTGTGAGCTTGTTTCGATGTGTGTTTTCTTATCACAACTTGACAGATGGGGTAACACAGCCACTGTGAATGGAATGACTTCCCCAAGGTTGTTCAGAGAGTAGGAACCCTCTACTGCTGATCTAACATTTTCTCCACCAGACTGAACTTCAAAGAGAAATTGGATCTCAATTCAGTGTCCCTAAACAATATTGCCTGACAAAGAAAGTTCAGTGAAGGGAAACTCCATGGTAGAGGGTGCTCAGGAAAAACCCACTTGTACTGTGCGTGGCCTGCTGATGCTGAAGGGTTATTTCGTGATCAGATAAAGGCTGGCCTCTCTATCTGAAGGTCTGGCATCTATGCCTTATTCTGAGGTCCCGTTATTTCCCTGGAGATATCTGGATCCCTGAGATAAACAAAAGTATTTTTAGGGTTGGCACAAGTGGGCATGCCCCCAGGTGTCCACTGAAATGGCATTTCCTTTATCATGTCGGGGGGAGTCAGACTCAAGTGGACAGCTTGAGTCATCCGGAATTATCTACTGGCTAAGCGTAAGAAAGACAGCCTGTTAGCAGTGGCTCCCAGGGGGCACACATCCATTTACTCCCCACAACGCCGAGTGCCCTGGGAACCAGGCCTTCTGTTCGCTTCCCCAGAGGTAACAGTCACTGGGAACTTAACTTCCTGCCAGGAATCTGTTCTGAGTGTTACCTGACTTAATAAAAAATGCCTTAAGGCAGGAAGTGCTATTATTCCCATTTTACAGGTGGGGAAGGAGGTACAGAGAGGTTTAGTCACTTCCGTAAGGTCTCACAGCTAGTAAGAGCTGGAGCCAGGATTTGAGCCTAGGCAGTCTGTCTCTAGAACCTTTTTTGAGTCTTTAAACTGAGATGAGTGACACATGGTCCTCAAAAGTTTCTCTGTCCACTGGGAGCAAGACAGATGCCAAGAAGGTTGGTACAACTCAGAGCGACCAGCGGTGTTGAGTGGCATGGGGGACACGGGAGGGGGCATCAAGGCATCACAGGAGGGTCACTCTGTTCATTGTTAAACGTATTACTTAATGTTTTGTTTTGAATAAGTAATGCATACAATGTACAAAATTTTACAATATTCAAAAGATACCAACCAGTGTCCCTATCCAGAAAACTGCCTTCCCAGTTTCTTACGGCCCCTCCAGAGACAGAGGAAAATAAAAGTAGATCGGTGCAGTCTTTTATTTTTTACAGGATGGCAACATTTTATACACATTATCTTGCACATAAATTTTTTCACCATCAGCAAGATATTTTGGAGATTGCTTCATACCAGCCTTTTTATATTAAACTTTTATTTTGAGGCATATGTAGATTTGCATCTAGCTGTCATTCATTTTTATGGTTGAGGAATAGCGCATTGTGCGGACTACCACAATTTCTTTGATGAGTCTCCATGAATGGATGTGGAGGTAATTTACAAATTTTTGCTATTATAAATATTAATGCGATCAATACACTTGTACACATTATTTCACACAGTTTAGAGTAATGCTGGTAGGATGAATCATTAATAGAACCATAAGCCAAAGGGTATATATAATTTTAATTTATCAATATTA